TATGACATAGATATCAAACGAGTTATAGTATGCTTTAAGTAATAAGCTCATCTACTTGTACCGACCACTGTTATTGATTGTTCGACCACTTGAAATTTACAGTTAGATTCTATTTCCTACATCACCAGTTTATCTACAATGTCATCACTTTTCATAATCGCTAACCTGCTGACAAACTTTATCAAGGCTTCATTTTCTATTTGACAACAGAAGTTTTCTTATAAACTACTTTTGTTTGGGTTGTTTACACGTCTGCTACGTCGCGGAGGTTCACCACAGTTTATGTGATTAGTACCAGTTTTTTTACCATCGGGGGTAAAAATAGTGGGCCGTATGGAAGGCCAAGCACTAAAGTTCTTTCTTTAAGATTTACAAGATTGGCCGACGTACAGCAGCAATCGGCGAGAACGGAGGCACACTTACAGCATATTTGTGGTCTTACGTGCGGTCAATGCTGTTGTTCGACGTACCACGGAAATTCAGCGAAGATGATATGATCGATCCAAGGAATGTCGATAATCTTGAGGTTTGTATTTTCAGATTTTAATTTCTTTCATAGGCGTCTGGTGTAAGCTTGTTCAGCTTGTTGTAATGTTTGCAAGACAGCTTTTGCATCCAATTTTTATTTGCACTGACTTTCTAAATCAGCTTCTTTAAGAGTGTTTGAACAGCCTGATGTCATAGCGGTTCGCATTGTTTTATTAGAACTCACCTTCAACGTACTTTTTGAGGCTGCATCTTGCTACCGGGGTTATCAAGGTTCTAAAGAGTTATACACCTTTTGCTATTTCACAAAAATCTATGAATGTTATGGGGGTAATTGTGAGTTGTTTTTTCCGCGACTGTTCTCAAAATAGTATTTTTTCATAATAACTCAACATAGAACAATTTCTACAAAACCTACAATTTTTTTGTCCATTCTTCAAATGCAGAATGAACTAAGTATTGAGAAGGTTTTTATCACTTTGGCCTCCAGGGCAGCTATATTAGCACCATAATTTAAAAAACTTTATTATATTGTAGAAAATTTTAATTTCATAGAATCTATAGGTAAGGTGGAAAATTAGGGGCTTGAAAGAGTAGGTGGGCAAATTAGGATGCAGTTAACTCTCTGTTTGTTTATGCATCTGTTTTTGCACTCATGAATCTCATTTTGCGCGAGTTTTATCTCCTGATATCTGCTTTTTGTGCGAAATATGTACTACCAAAAAAGTGCTATTTTCAGGTTCTTGCTCGCGCAAAATGGTATGTGGACCACAACGATTTTGATGGGGCAGTTCGCGTCTCGCAGTTATTGCGTGGCGAGCCGGCACTGTCGGTCCGCGACTGGCTCGCAGATGCTCGTGCTTACTTGGAAACTAGATTGCTCGCTCAACTTCTTGTTGCGCATGCTGCCGTATCATCCATAAGATCCACGTATTGAAATAATGTGCAAGAGGTGTTCGGCGGTAGTTGTAGCAAGTTTTGATACTGCCACGGCAACTTTTGAAGCCAGTTAGTTGGTTAGATAGGCCCCATGTTTTTGTAGGTTGTTAATATTAAAGCTTTTCCATCTCTTTTTTTTTTCTCCTGAATGTGTATGATAGATTTTTGAGCGTGTTTTTACCGGAAAAGTAGGGTCTTTTCATCAGTCCTATCATAATCAGCATTTTAAATAACTTAGTTTCTTCCGGTTTCTATTCTCCTGTCAGAGAACGAGAATGTTATCTACAAATCAATAAACATCTACAAACATATATTGACTACACCGTTAGGTACTTGCTTGACTTGGATCTACTAGCTTGCT